AACAAGCGATCCCTCACTCCACCGCGGGGCACCACTAGGCGTTCACGATAGTACAAGACTCCGTCATCGCGAATTGCAAACTCGGGCCTCTTTCCTGTAGGAACTAACTCTCGAGTCTTCTGACAAAACTCATCATCTCTCTGTGCTGTACGGATCTCCTGCTCTAACGGAGACTGAAGCTGTAGCTCGGCTAACGATTTTCTGCTCAAAGCATCGGCCACGATGTTAGCCTTGCCCGGGTGATACTCAATGACTAAATCGTAATCCTTGATCAGCTCCAACCATCGACGTTGTCTAAGATTCAGCTCCTTCTGGGTGAGTAGGTACCTCAAACTCTTGTGATCGGTGAAGATGTGAATCCTCTCTCCAAAGATGTAGTGGCGCCAAATCTTCAAGGCGAACACCACGGCTGCCAACTCTAAATCATGTGTCGGGTAGTTCTCCTCGTGAGTTTTCAACTGTCTCGATGTGTAGGCCACTACCTTACTCAACTGCATCAGTACACAACCTAAGCCGCTATGAGATGCGTCACTATAGATGGTATACTCGATGCCATGAGTAGGTTGAATCAAGACTGGTGCCTGGGTCAGGCACTCCTTCAGTTGATCAAAACTGCGCTGGCACGCTTCTGTCCACTCAAATTTGATGTCCTTACGCAGTAGCTTGTTCAATGGAGTAGCGATCGAGGTGAAGCCCTTAACAAATCGACGATAGTAACCGGCTAACCCAAGGAAGCTCCTCACCTCACGAACATTCCGCGGAGTCTTCCAATCCACTATGGCTGAAATCTTGCTAGGGTCTACCTGGATACCGGTGGCAAAGATAACATGTCCTAAGAATGTCACCTCACTCAACCAGAATTCACACTTGGACAATTTTGCATACAGCTTGTGCTCTCTCAACACACTCAAAACCAATTGCAAATGTCTAGCATGCTCCTCCTGAGTCCGTGAATAAACCAAGATGTCATCGATGAACACTACTACGAACTGGTCCAAGTATGGTCGGAACACACTGTTCATAAGCTCCATGAACACTGCCGGGGCATTAGTCAATCCGAAAGGCATGACTGAGAACTCATAATGCCCATAGCGTGT